CCAAATCCCAAATACTAGTAATTTGGGATTTTGGCGTCCCAAATCCCAAATGATTTGGGATTTGGACAACACGTATAGCCTATAGAGAGTGGGAAGAGTCTCCTGGCTTAGAGCAAAAAAAGGCTACCAGTCCAATATTTTTATCTTCTATCTATAAAATCTGAAAAATTGTGGTTACGAAGAATGAACCTATTTTATATTATTTAGAAGGTGATGAGTTTACACCAAAGCGGGGTTTGTGAGAGAGGAGCTCATGCAGGTATTTCCAGAAAAAATCGAGTACCCGCTGCAAAGTATATTAGAAGAAAATGCCCACTTCAGATCTGTTAATTTTGTTCGTACTATTAATAAAATGGCTAAAGTAGAACAATATGCTAAGAAGCGTCTTGATAAAACTGGTTGTATAAATGATTTCAATGTATACCTCTGATCCTGTGAAAATGGAAAACATTAGTTTGTGTATCCATTAGAAGTACTAGAGCGTAAATTCGAATAGTACTCACTTTGTCCACATACCTGTGAAAAAAGTTGTAGATATATTTTTGAAGATCTGTTAGGTAAGGAATTTCCATCATGTTCGGCCCCATTTTTGGAAAAATTACGACTTGATAGATATAACGAAGAGCTAAAATTGACATGGGAATATAATGGTGTCCAACACTATAATTAGAATAGTTTATATCACAAAAATCGGGGTGATCTAGATAAACAAAGAAAACAGGATCAAAAAAAAATGGGAAATATGCAAATGAGAAGGTATAGATCTTATTGAAATACCATATTCTGCTGATTTATTTCCTTATATCAAGCATACATTACAAAAAAAGGGGTATTTACTGACTTCTGATTCTTAGACAAGTTAATTTTACCAATACATTTGATATAATTTTCTTTTTATATAATAAACGGATCTATAAAGATAAGTAGCAATGCCATATAATAAATTATTTTGGAGAAATGACACTCCGTATCTACATCTACTTGTTTTGCCAGAAATATTAATCGATATTTTTTTATATTTAGCCAAAAACAAAGCATTATACCCAACCTTATTTGTTAACTGACTGTGGTATTTTTGTTCTGCTCCTATATTATGAAAAAGAGTTGAATTTGCTGGCGGTTTAAAAAATCGAGTAAGTATGTATATATAACAATAAAGATCATTATTTTTTAGGTATAATAATTAGTGTCTTAGCGTAATCGAGATGAAAGTAGAAAAACTTGAACTGATTGAGGCCTTCAAACTCAATATAGACGAATATAAGTCTCCGGAAAAATATAACTCGAAAAACTCATGTCCTCAATGGCTCTTTACATTCTTATTCGCAGGACGGACCAATACAGGAAAATCTACTGAAGTTGTTCACCTTTTGGTCAGAAATAAACTATATAGA